GTGGTTTACTACCGTCCGCCATATTGCCTCTCTTCTTGCTGTATACTTTCCACCCCCTGCTTACCATTTTCTCCCTAACTACGAACATATATGTCAATATTTGTCTTAGTATTGTAATGTTTGTGAACATCGAAAAAGGCATGGGCATTGCTAAATGAGATTCAGWGAATCTTAACTCTAAATGAGAATCTTAGATAAACGATAGCTATTACTACTCAATAACCTCGCACATGTAGGACTGACAGTGAGCTCGAGAAAGGCAACATTGAGCCATAAACAAGCAGCTGCAGATAGCTTTTTCGCAATGTGGACGTCTACAAACCATTAATAATTATAAACAATTATAAGGCTACACCATACTTTATTAGTTGCGCATGACAGACTAAAGGAGATGTTGGTTTGTACACTACATTTCCTGAAAGCAATGTAAATTTGGACAAAGGCGTATTTTTTCCTAGTCATTGTGATAGTTTATGCATTTTCCATTTAGACCATTTTTCTATGCAGAGTGTCTAGTAACCAAAATATTGCTCGTCTGTATGATCAAAAATTACTAGTGATCTTTACACCTACTTGCAAAAAAATGACATAGAAAATAGGACATTTGAAAATAGGACATTTGAAAAAAGGACATTTGAAAATAGGACATTTGAAAAAAGGACATTTGTAATTAGTATAAAGGAAAGATTAAAAATACAAAGGAAGATCACTGAGGCTGAACGCTCTCTTTTGTCTTGTTTTAATTTATTCCTTTTTACTAAATTCAAATGTTCTATTTTCTATGACAACGTTTTTGCAAGTAGGTGTATATGTATTTTTCGCTTTCATAAATTGCAGTTTTTTCTGGGCATATTTAATATTTTTTATATAATAAATATCTGGAGATAATTTTTCTTAAGGTTATTCTTAGGGTCATATAATGAAAGAGGGCAATTACATATTATAGTTTGGATAGTGTTTTATCGTGTTTAAAAGTTAAATCCAAACAGAGATTCATGAGCGCTATCCTGTATTAGCAAGCGTGTTATTCGTATCAACTCAGTTTCGAAACTTGATATTATTCTTTATGTTGAATGTTGACCTCTTAGACTTACATGYAGTTCTCACTGTTAGCTCGGGCAACTGATTCATAAAACACACAACACAGATACTGGAGAAAATCTAGTTTAACGACAAGAGACTGATAGTTTTTCATTTTTCATATAAAGTAATTAATTAATAATGTCTATATTTAGTATTCAAACTCCCTTATCTTCTTGAGGCAAAAACGTCTCCKCCAGGGATTGGCCAATAATGATAGAGAAGTCAACGTCTTTCCGTTCTCTCTTCACTTTCGTTTGTACTTTCCGGTTCTCGAACGCGTCAAAGATAGGAAAACAGTACTAATACAAACTTACTGGGAGTCTCCAAAGTGATCAGCTTTTGTCAAATRGTAAGGTTCACAAACAATAAGTTATATAAACTTATTCGGTGCTAACAGTGCTATATTCTCAGTAGAAGGTAAGACATGAGATGTTGCCATTACTATATATAATCGATAGATGTGAATTTATTATTGCCTGCGACTGCTCTCATTACACATGAGCACAATATTCGATTCCAACTTTCCAGAGTATGAAAATTACTTTAGAGGATAAGCATTTACCAGGGTAACGAATGTTCCTGCGATATTTTTTTTTTGAGAACAGTGAGATGGAGGTTTTAAACTGATTGGGAATCGAGACTGTGAGATTGCCAAATTCAGTTCCTAGACGAGGACTCTTCGACTGTCAAAATTAAGTGGAGAACGATACTTYGAGACTTAGTTGAAGGTACCAATTTCCTTCCCTCTTTCACTAGCATGGAGATCAAAATCGTCGTTTTTAAATTATTTGAATTTCGCCCTGAATKATCTAGCTTTCGCTGAAAGATACAAACTGAATGATACAATGATAGTTTCACTCAGTCAGTTCCTGAGTCTATGCAACAATTAGAGTATTTTAAGATAGACGATTGACAGTTCATTGATAGAGCAAGGACTCTAATGACGAATTGTTGTCAATGAAGAAAAGGGTGAAATGATAAGGAGGCAGAAGGATAGTTTTAGCCAGTTTTTTARTATATTCAGAAATCAGAGCACTATAAGTTAGTGGACTGGGAGTCGATTGGTAATCGAAAAGACTGAGTGGCCTAACTCTTGGAGCATATCACCAAATTAAAGGGAYAATGTGAAATAAGAAATTTAAAGGGAATGACAGTTTCTGAGTCTATTCAAAAATCAGAGGCCTGTATCTTGRTATTGGACTGGTTGATGTCTATAATCGAGCTGGTTGAGTAGTTGTCTGGATTGCTGAAGTATATACCAAACATTGTACAAAATAATTTGAAATAAGAAAAACATGTCCCGTCCTGCCACCATACATGGACTATCGCAAATACATAAGTCAAACAATAAGAAGGATTGCAGTATACAATTGTCAAAATGGCGGAAACTAGCGGTAAACTAGTCTGCGTCGTTGTCTTTTTAAAGAACAGTTGTGTAAAAAGATAAATTGTAGTAAAATAGTTGAAACAACTTACTAACCTGCTTGTTTCACCTATTTTTTTTACGGTGTTAAATGTTATCTTTAGAAACACCGGCGCAGCTCACACTTGTTTACCGCAARTTTTCATCATCACAACTTTTAAACTTTTGAAATAGCTAATCATAATGATAAGTAAGGCATTTTTACCACATGTGATTTTCATGCAATTTTCTCGCTATCTGATTGGTGGAGAGCCGTGATTAACAAAAGTACATACTACGGTCGCTACTTTGCTCGCGAGTAACTTTGATACTTTAAAGTGCACATGACACCTTTTTGAAATTCACTTTTATCCGAAAGGTAACATGTTGCCAAGAACTTCTGTAAAGAAAGAAATAGATTTTGAATTGTATTTTCTGAGTTATAGGCATTTGAAAAAAAATGAAAATGCAAATGAAGTGACGTCAACTAAGGAATTGGTCCTGACTTTTTACATTGTTTGTGTTATGTTTTTTCCTGCTAGAAGATCTCAAATCATCAATCACAATAATAATTGAGAGCTGAAAATGTTTGTTTCCAATAAAACAAAAAGTATAACGTCCTCTTTCATTATTTTGTATATTAAATCATTCCTTAGTAGACTTCACTTCATTTGCATTTTCTAAGTTTCAATTGGCCTTAGAAAACTTAGAAAATACAATTCAAAATCAATTTCTTTCTTCACATATGCACTAAGCAACATTTTTTCTTTGGGATGAGAATCAATTTCTAATGGTGTCAAGAGCACTTTAAGAAAAACAATGGACTTTCCCGACTTTTCAGTCGTTGGGAATTTTAAAAATTCCTGACTGGGCAGACAAAGCGAAAAAAGGATGTCACATGATTTGTTGAAATACATGTTTTGGTTCAGTTTGAAATGAGATTTCAGTTGTTCTTTTAGCTTGCAAAACGCCCGCAGTACTGGCAAAACAATTATTTTGTGGTTAAAAAACAAAAACAAACTGACGATAGTTTATTGTGGTATAGTGTCCTCTTATTTACTTTTATTAATTTATTTTATTTTATTTATTTATTTAGTGTCCTCTTATTTATTGGGATCATCTCATCGTCTAGATTGTTGTAGATCCACTCGACATGGTCTCGTGGATCTACAACAATCTAGACGATTGGATGAACCAACTGTGGTAAATAAGAGGACATACAACGCGAAACTATCGTCAGTTTGTTAAATAGCTGTCATCTATACTCATTGCTGAAATAGTGACGTCATTTATGTCATTTGCCTGAAGGAAAATGATTCGTCAAAGGAAATTTGATTTTCTTTAATAACATGTATTTTATTCAGAAACGTTTCTAAAGTTAAAGCCAAAGGGTATATTGCTAATTTGGATCAATGCATTCGAAGAATTCAATTTGAACATAGTTTGATGTTTGAGGGAAATGGCTAGGAAGCCTTTTGTTGTAGGTTTTTGTTAACTTTTTTTTCAAAGGCGTACGTGACAGTATATAATCTTTTTTTTCACTGTTCTTTTAGCCATACTTGTCTCATCTGAATGAACAGAGGGAAAATTATTCTTTTGAATATTTCTTCAAAATGCCAAACATTGTAACCAATATTGAAATAATWATTTCATTTCATAATCTCGTAGAAGATGTTTATATCTAGTCTTTTTGCAATTTCCATCGTCTGTAAGACTGATTAAACCTCAAAAATACGACTGATTCAACCTCTAAATACGTACAAAAGATGTACAGAAGAARTACAACAAAAGGTTTCCAAACCATTCCCCTCTATTACCTATGATTTGAATTAACTGAAAGATTTTTGACATTAAGGATCTTTTTTTAAAGGGAAATGAAAAAAAAGAACAAAAAATAAATAAAACAAAAAAAAACGTTTATTTAGTATCAAGGAGTCAATTCTATGTTTTTCCAAAGTGAAACAGATGTTGCCTTGGAAGCTACTCCTAGTACTTCTTGGAGTGAAAACGACGAACACAYGAGGTCCCACTCAATAAAATACTCTGCATATTAAGCAGTCATTATATCGATACATTTTACAATATTGTATGCAACTACCAGYATTGATGTGTCTTTGATAAACATATATAGAGGGCTCTCTGAAGCATATGYACATACATATAGTTATTCATGAAAATCGCTATATGAATATCAACATGTTCTGTATTGGGCTTACTGCTAACATTGCCAGAAGCTTTTTACTCTGGCACCCCGATTTTTCAGGGGAATAATGTTTACGTTAGTAACCCGGACCCGGACACAAAAAACGTGCACATAGTTTTGATGAACCTCTCATAAAAGCTTTTTAAAAGTGGCCATTTATCAACTCCAAAGTAGTTTTTAAGCGGGAAACTTTATAATCGATCAATTTAAGAACATGCAATAAAAGGAAGCATTTTGTATGCKGCTTTTAAAAGGATGCATATGCCTCTTTGAGGTGTAAATTCTGCTATTGATCAATGTTTTTGACATTAACACCTGGCTAGGATATATTTCTTTTTTAAAATTGAGTAAGTATACGATAAACGTTATTTTATATATTACTGAAAGACCTTGAAAGCAAATAAATCTTTAAGACTAATAAGTTTTTGAGAGAGTGAAATGTCAAACTGCCAAAGTGCTGAAAGTGTAAATAAAATATATAAATTGCACTCAAAAGAGTGCTTCATTATACCAAGGTCTGCCATCTGGACCTAACAAATGTCTTCTGTGAAATGCATTAAGCKGAATAAGCAGCCTTAGGGGTACTAAATTTGTCCAAGTTTATTTATTTGCTTGATTCTTATATATTTGTCCACTGATAAACAGATAACATCAGTAATTTTCCTGTTCGCTSTGGTTTGCTAAAAAAACTTTATCACTTCCTCCAGACAGATGCAGCTGTGTAATCAAGGAATTGAAACCCCGGCTCAGCATCATATCGAAAAAATAGCAGGAAGTTGTGAGGATTAATGGGACTGTAAAGAATAGCTGCAATATGCGAAATGCACTCAATACCACCAACCGTTCGTTCAGACAAGACTCAACATCGGGTTCTTTGTTGAATAATTTTGAGCTCTGAAGTCTGTTAGAAAGCTAAAGAAGAGAATATGCATATCGGAATCAATGAAACCAATGTTTCGTCCCAGGTAAGCAACCGCCCTGAAGAATGTTTTTTTCTTCATACCGTCATATTTGGAAACGAAAACAAAGGCTTGTATATCACCAGTATCGTTACTATCATAGTGAACAGTATTTTCGCAGTGGTTGCTGTYATAGGGAACGTCCTTTTTCTTCAAACACTTTGGAGAACAAGCTCCCTCCAAACTSCTTCGAACATCTTACTTGGAAACCTTGCTTTGTCTGATTTATTAGTTGGATTGATCGTACAGCCTTTGTATATTGGCTACAAGGCTAGTGAGATAAGCGGACGATATTCGTGTCTTGTTCATGTCTCGTTTTCAACAGCGGCGTGGATAGCGGTTGGCGTTTCTTTTCTTAACCTTACTGCCATAAGTTTGGAAAGATACGTTGCGATATTCAAATCATTTATTTATCTTGCTGTTGTTCAAGTCAAAACGATGTTAGCAGTTTCTGTGTTTACTTGGATTCTTGCATTAAGTGTAGTATTTTCACGGTTTTTGGGACTCAGCTCGTTTTATTTCTACGCAATATGTTTGGTGTTTATCTTGATAAGCTTCACAACAACAATTGTTGTCTATGTTAAAATCTACCGCGTCGCTAAGCAGCATCAGAGATCGATCCGAGACCAGTCTACAACAGCCAATGGCAATGAAGGAGAAAATGGACAAAACTTTCTAAAAGAAGCTAAGTTGACAAAGACCGTTGGTTTAATAACGGGGTTATTTTTTCTATGCTACATGCCTACCCTTGGGATAATGGTATATTATAGCGTCAAAGAATACAGCACTATTACCAAGATATTATATTCCTGGACCGATACAATCGTTTTCTTAAACTCATCACTAAATCCAGTTGTTTATTACCTTCGTAATAGAAACATCAGACAAGCATTGCTGAAGTTTTATTGGACAAAACATTTCAAACATAAAGTAACGATTACGTCAAAGAAACATCCAAATATAGCTGTCAATGCTAAAGATAGCTAAAACAACAGAGCAATGACTTTAAACAGCACGTTTTAAAAAAGAGCAATCTATACACTTGACTGGAGAGGTCATAAAGAGTTGTTATTTCCTGTGCGTGGCTAACTACCTATCGATCAAAACAACCAATTTATAACCCTTTGAGTGGCTAAAACAAGTTGTGCAGGGAAYCTGMGGTTTTGTARCAAAGCAWGGCAGCATCGGGTAACAAACAAAAAAGATTACCCGATCTTGTCATTTTTGATAGTGAATCTGAATGGAAATAGTTTCCATATGGTTGGTAAAATAAGGCATGATTTTGATATGACATAGAAATCTCCTTTATGTTGCCCAATTTCGTCGCGCTTTAAGTTTTAACCGGTAAAAGGGTTATCAAAATGCTTTAGCTATTTCTTTYGACAAAAGCTTATCCGCATTGGTAATTGTTTAGTGTTGGATCAAACTGACAGGTGAAATGGGGGAGGAGAGGGGGGTGCACCCCCTTCTTAGAACTTTTACCCTTTACAACATGATCGCAATTGAGAGGCTCAAATGTATGTTTACCATCATTTTTTTATTCATTTTTTGAAAGTGAAACCTAAGTCTGTGCCATATAGAAGTCACATCAATGCGTTTTCGGGAAGTCAATCTCCGTATATCATTTGGGATTTTAGTTAGTATACGAAATAGCATTGTCTGCCGGTTGTCAGTTAGAATCTGGTCACCTCACCTTCTTGCGCTCTTTCCAGGTCATTTTTGTGGTTTGGTTTGCATCCCTTGGAAAGAATGTTAAATCCTGAACCAGAATCCGCTTCTTTTCTGTGTGCCATTAGCGCTTACAAGGCCTAGGGCTAAAATTTGGTCACAGGAAGTACTTCCTAAGTACAACATTTAATGATTTCCCTATTTCAATGCAAAAAAACGGAGACTGTAGTATTTTAAAGGAACTTTTCAGGAGTTTTCACTTTATTATTTTATTAACCTTTTAGTTCTGTAACAACTTCTCCATAATAATATAAATCATGCTCATATCATACAGATAATACGCATATGTCATACAAATAATACTCATATCATACAGATAACAATCATATCATACAAATAATACTCATATCACACAGATAATAATCATATCATACAAATTATAATCATATCATACAAATAATAATCATATCATACAGATAATAATCATATCATAGAGATAATAACCATATCATACAAATAATAACCATATAAAAATAATAATCATGTCATAAAAATAATAATCATATCATACAGATAATAATCATATCATACAGATAATAACCATATAAAAATAATAATCATGTCATAAAAATAATAATCATATCATACAGATAATAATTATATCATACAAACAATAATCATATCATACAAATAATAACCATATAAAAATAATAATCATGTCATAAAAATAATAATCATATCATGCAGATAATAATCATATCATACAGATAATAATCATATCATACATTAATATTCATATTATACAATAATTCTCATATCACACAAATACATACAAATAATGCTCAATATGACTTGCACTCGGGGGGGGGGGGGGGGTACTGTTTTATCCCTCCCCTCGAATATTTTTCTCGGTGTAACAAGTATTGAAATGATCAAATAACTTATATAAATTTTGTATGGAATTTCGTGATATTTCCATGAGCTCTTTTAAATGAAATCAATGATCCAATGAAAATATGATAATGAATAAATAGGGGATATTGCAAGGACGCGATTTAAAAAAATATATATCTCACGAGTAAGAGTGCCGTATACTCAAGAGACTATGCTATATTCTGTTTATCATATGATTATGTATGAAAGTAATTATGCTGTAAAATGACAATCATATTTATCTTAAATTGATAGTGGTACCACGAACGTCATGCTTTTCTAAAGTGAGAAAGATAGTTATTTGATTGAGAATTATGTTATAAAAATAAGTATATCAATGAATAAAATTACCCACAATACAGTGCGCGACAACTGGCCAAGATTTAAAAGTTATAGGCTTAAGTTTATAAAAAAAATATATAATTTTTTTTCACCAAAGAAAGTCGAGGTWACATGGAAGAAATTAAATGGACAAGTCAAGGAATAGTCTTTTAAAGGACAAAAAATTAAATTACATGATAAAAGGATTTTTTCCTGAAGGCCTGTGCGAACCATGCATAATGCACTCCGCTGGTTCATAGCGGTAGACGGATATTTTACTAGAACGAAGTCAGCCGCACAAAGTGGGCCGCTATAATCAGTTTTATGTATATTTAATATTCTCTTTACTTATTTTACCATTGAAAATGATATTGGTTGAATCAAGAAGAATCTAAACTACGCAGTTGGAGGCCTGTGCACTTATAAATCTATTATAGATCACCTGTACAAAGAGCGATTTTTAAGCTATTATTGACTGTGGATTGGCTTCCTGTGCTGAGAGTTAGTTATCTCTTATTTCTACAGGCGAACTAACTTATATTATTTTGTGTGCGTTTATGCAATAATGATTTTCTAGTTCTTAATAAATCAAAATATGTACAGTCATGTTCTTGGGTCAATTTCTTTTGCTCAATTTTAGACATCACTATCTGACAYCTTTTCTCTATTTAAAATGAATTATTGTAAGTAATCTTCTAGTAAAAAAAAATCCAAGAAGCAGCATTGATATAAGGAAGAAGAAGAGGCAATTATGAAGAACGAAGGATARCAAGAACCAGTCAATTCTATCCTCCAAAAAAATGGTCAATGATTATTGTTTCTGTATTTCTAAAGCCTGTTTTATCTTTTGAATCACGACATATAATAGCTAAGAAAATACCTTATTAGTATAAACTTTCGCGAGAACTTAATTTCGCGAATTTGGAACACAAATATTTCGCGATGAGCATAAAAATTTTGCGATTTTGAAAAAAAGGATAAATTTGATGCATTATTAATTTCGCGAAAATTGAAAAACAGGTGAACAAGCAGACTTAAAAATTATTTTTTATTGGAAGGTTAYTTTTTATTACAATCAAGATTTTCGTATAAAGAAGTGAAGTGATGAAAGCAATTATAGAAGTGTACTAAATTTCGCGTTTCAAATTTTCGCGAAATTGATTAAAGCCTCGCGAAAATTAGTACGAATAAGGTATGTACCAATCAGAACATAATATCACTGTACTTTCGTCTTCTATAAGATTTTGTCGTTTGAAAATAAGAAAGCAAAATATGGAAACATCAGAAAACTAAGTACACAAATAGTATATCAATGTTAATGAGCTTATGGGGATCAAACACTTCTGAATCATAATCTTGAATGTACTTATACGTCTGAATCTGATAACTTACTTCGACTTACGCACGTACCTTTTTTTCCGTTTGAAGGAGGAACTGAACACATTCTACTACACATTAAAATAAGATTTTTTCTGTTCAAAACAGTCATTACTTTTCCATTGATTTAATATTTTTCTACTCATCAAAGAACCTTAATACAATATTTCTTTCTTTTTTTGGCGTAGTTCGCCATAGCTYAAGCTTAAATATCTATATGAGTAGTATAATACTTTATCCTATGACTTAATGTTTTTTATATTTTTCTTACTTTATCAGAGAAAAATTAACTAGCCTGCATTGTCAAAACGTCAGTTTTAATTTGGCCACCAACGTTATGTCGAAACTCGATAATTCAAAAGATGCAAGCAAAGCTAGACGAGTAGATTAGGCTAAATATAAGTTTTCTTTTGGAGGGAGTTAATGTTGAKGACATGTTTTCCAGATCGATAAACGTTTTCATCACAATCCAAGAGKTGTTTGAATGTGATCAATTATTCATACTTTAACAGGAATTCGCTTGTGCTTAGATGAGCTGGGATTTTTAGCTTAATGTCAGGCTATGCGATCTTTCATTAGCATGGAGTATACACATTATTTATTATYCAGTAATTATACTGACAATACATACTATACTAAGAAATATAATACAATCATTTTTTTGTTTTCTTGTTTATTTTTTCAACTTTAATAGGCTTTTAGTATGAAACGAACACATAGTACTTAATCCGCAAAACTGAATCGCTAAATAATGAAAACAACCTCAAAATTGAAAGGAACGCAGACCTTCAAACTCGACTTTTCCTTGTTTTGACCATCCCAGTGAATATTTTTCCCATCAGGAATGGCGCATTTAGTACCATGTGATCGTTTCATGAGAAAGGTCTATTAATTATTTTGTCTTAATTTGAGGCTTTTAAGGATCACTTTTATTGGCTAATGTTTAAATCAGCAAGCATAGATATTTATATCAATTTTTCGATAATTTCTGGCTGGAAAGCTAATKTTAAGTCTTTTTATAATAATCATATGTTGTAATCAGTTCCTTTTATAATGRTATGTTTTGGTCACACCTTTAGTGTTGAATGACCAGATATCTTAAAAGAACAATTTTCGCTAAGGCGCCTTGRAGGCTACATTAGAGCCGTAAAAAGGAWTATTTCGCACAGTCTGGCGTCTATCGATCAGTGGGTAAGATCTTTGTCGAACGGTTATCTCCAGAGTCTATATAGTTATATTGCTTTTGAATTTGTGAAGCGAAGATTGATACGTTAAGTAAAGAAGCGTTACATCTTTCTAAGAAGAGTTTCCGCAGTTAGACAGTCGTTAATATGACAGGAAACCCTTATTCATCTGATCTTGACGTCACTGTCATTTTCGGGCTACTTCTCGTTTTGGATGTCGTCGAAATCAAGTCAYATTCATTAACTTTATCAAATAAAGGATTAATTCCAATAAATTGAACTCATGTGTCGCTGAGAAAGCTGTTTTAAGCTGCCCAAGGTTATAGGATTAATTTACAGTTCTGGGRTTAATAGCCGTCAGTTTTTTTTAGAATTMTCGATTRCTGGATATAGAGTTTACATCGATGATGTCTTCAGAAAAGAATATTTGGTGACAGACGATTTGCTAATCGAATTTCCTCTTTTTTTATCCTTCTTTGCTCTCTTTAGCGCGTTTCTAAAATCATTTTTACCAAGGACATACAGACAGGGATTAATGAGTGAGGTTGCGAATCGCGAATAGACGAAAACGTACTCTAAAGTTTCAGTCAATTCAAAAAAGGAATTGCCAATGTTGTGCTGAAGAGTTGCTAAAAAAAAGGGCAGCCAGCACACACAGTACGTAATGAACATAAGAGCAAAGATCAGAGCGGCTTTCCATTCTCTTCTTTGTTTCTTTCTAKTGTCGTCCGTTCCCGGCGTGTTATTTTGCCTCATGATATGACTTTGCCGAACGACTTCGTAGAATATTCGACTATTCACGAAGATCGTAACAGCGAGCGGTAAAATGAAGAAGCATACAAGGTTGAACATGTCATAGGGGATCTGTTTTTCGGGGAATCCTTCTCCGTGTACATGTATCTCTGTTGAGCTGTTCCAGATAAGTTGTATRCAACTAACGAAAATAGAAAATAACCATATAGCCGACAAAGTTATGTAGGCTCTCCGAGGTGTTACGATGAGGTAGTAGCGAAGGGAGTGTATAATTGCGAGGTAGCGGTCAGCTGTAATTGTCAGCAAGTGAAGTACTGTAGAAATGGAGGTAAAGCGGATAAAAGCGTCAGCAAACACGCAGATGGTTGTCTTTTGGACGATGTTGCAGGCCAAATACAATGGTATACCGACTAAACCAGTCAATAGATCCGACAGAGCCAAACTGCATAACATGTAGTTTGCAGTATTCCTTAGATGCTTTGACTTTACGACCAGAAAATGGACCAGAGCGTTTGCAGCTATTATCAATATAGCGAAGAGAATAGGAAAGATGTCGTGCTTAGGGCTGAATTCTATCTTAAAATTAGTCGAGTTGAGATTCTCTTCGCTATGATCCATCTCGRAATAATCTTCACTTGGCATGGTTTACTGTGTGTATATAGAAATTATGTCAACGGCGACTGTCTTAACAATGTGTAACCGAGTTGTGCCTCTCGAATGTGATTAGTACGCTCTTTTATCTTTTCCACAATGGTGAAGTATTCTAAAAAGAAAGGAAATATCAAGTTATTGTAAGTGGCACTTTGATCGAAAATTGACGCGCGTTGGTTGAAAGTGCATTAATATGAAAACATTCACAGTTCCGCCTCGCTTGATGAGCGTYGGTGAAAAACTCACGACTGATCGTCAACTATCAGGTCTGACTATATTTCAAAGTTCGGATTTTCATTTGTCTCGCTTTTGATGTCAAAGATTAAGTTTTAGTGCCTAAACGCTATCTTTTAAAGGTCGATTTGGTCAGATTGACAATATATATAAAGATAATTATGGATGGTACTTGTCTCGATGTTTACCCACGTACAATCACAATGAGCATGTCTTTCGAAAAGCGTTTTATATATTGACCATTGTTTTGCAGTACGTTAGATATTAAKACACGATCAGAAGTCTGTTTTTTTTTATTGCTTTTTTTTATCATAAGGTCCACACTTAATTAAGTAAACTGTATTTTTCATTTTATACTTAGAATAGCTTTTTATAATTGATGCCCATTTTTTTAAGGTTGACATAAATGAGTTTTATCCAGTCAATGGATTCAGWAGTTCGAAATCATAAACACTGTTTGCTCTAATGGTAAAAGCGAGAACTATTTCTTAAAAGGCATTTACAAAAATARCCAGTGCATTATGTACGTCCTAGTATGTTAAAAGCGGTTAGTTGCCTTTTTTAAGCGAGAACTCGAACACTTACGTTCTAAGTTAACTAAAATTTACATTTACAAAAGGTGTTTTTATTACCATGTTTCGTAAACATATTAAATAATAGGGCTTGTTCAATGGAGTTACGGATCATAAACCCTTTTAATTAACGGAAAAGAGAGTCCCAAATTCTTACAATGCATTGAAAACGAAGGGCAGTATAATTTAAGACATTGCTGACGTTTGATCTTTAATCAAAGTGTTTTTATAACCTTCAAAGTAGTCACTCCAATTCAAAAAAGATGAAAGGATAGCGAGTGCAATCCATCCTAAAGSAACGTGWGAGTAAAGTACGCCTCTTATCTTTGATGCTGGTACCATTTTGTCGAGAAATTATTGAAGAGGTGGACTTGTTTATTTTGGACATCGGACAAAAACATCAATTAGCGTTTGTCGCAATATTTCTCATGACAATCTTAATTGAAAGTCCATTGCATTAGTTTTTAAGTTGATTTTCTTACAAGCCGGAGTTTTTTTTAGTAAATTTAAAGGATAATATGGTTTAATGATTGTTTGTTATCAAAAGAAAATCCGTCTAATTCCGATTTGATGAAAAACTAGCCAGGTCACCTTTTGTCGACACTCCCTGAAAAAGGGCGGATAGCACATATATTACCTGTCATGTTTAAGCCCTACTCCTGCATTCATTTACAATTAATTATAAAGCAAGTGGACACCCTTTAAAGTTCTAATTCCTTTTCTACTTGATAGGTAGGAAGGTATAATCCCTTACTTCCTAATCTCAATTAAAGAGGAGCTGTCTTTAAGACTAACAAATGAGACTGTTGCTATTTAGGATTATCGTTTGAATCCAGATACAATATTTTTTTACTGGAATTTGAAACTGGGAAGGACTCCTATACACCCTTTTAATAAGTCCCGAGGTATTACGTTCTCCGCACTTGACGTCAAATATATTCTTTTGAATTCCTTTTGTATTGTAAAAATTTCAAAAGAATAAATTTGACGTCAAGTGCGGAGAAAACAATACCTTGGGACTTATTAAAAGGGTGTATAGCGGATGCTTCTAAAGAATCATGTGAAAATGATCACTAAAAGGCACCAAAGAATTTCTGCTTGAGAGCTTGAGAAAGTCTTATAATTATTTTTAACTCTCTATGCATTGAAAAACGTTAAACCATACTAGCTTTTCGATAACTTTTGAAAAYAGTTTACCATGATATGCAAACAAAAATGCAATTTTTGTAAGTCGGTTGAGCAAAACAAAATCTCACTTTCCCAACCCAGCTTAAAATTATGGTAGCCCGATGGACCCTAAAAGGAACAAAAAAAAAAAAGAAAAGAAAAAAACACCTTAGAATAAAAAGGTTTGAAAAGAGAAAAAAATGCAATTCATGGCACTTATTCGGYGAGTACGAATTTTGTCCGACCTGCCTAAAAGAGGTATGGGTAATACTTTTTTGTAGCGAGCGTACGTGAGTTCTAGACAAAGAAATTCTTCAATATTATGATTGTTCTTGTGTCGTGAGTGCTTTCCTCGTATTGCATGTCACGCTTTTAAATGGTATTCTTCAAAAGCTTACATTCAATACAGGTTTTTGTAAAAGTGGTCTATATATAGTATTATGACTATTTCGCCAAACGCTTTTAGAATACGCTTCTATATTGATTACGAAAGACCCTTTTTTAAGAAATGTAAGCTTCTGTGGTGTATAATCACTGCCATGAATCAGATGACGTGAAACCAGTTATCAGATATTCAAGGACAAAATTTAAMATTGTTATTGCTGTTAATCTTGTTTTCTTAATTTACTAATTTGACGTTTTTCACTATGAAAATGATATCCGTGTCGATATTGACTATGTTTTGCTGATTATTTATGTAAACGTAATATTCTTTTAATGTTTGTCTTTTTTTGCGGAATCATGTAAAACACTGACAAAATGAAGAAAGTTGAAAATAAAATAAATTAAATAAAAAAAAAAATGATGGAGCAAAAAAAAAATAGCTTGTGCGGCTATGCTTCTTCAACATATTCACGCTCGTCTACCAACAACCAGCATTTTCAGGCCCGTTTACACCTGCAATTTTTCGGCGATTTTATTGGCTATTTTGATCCTAGAGAATGATGTTAAAGAGTTAACTTGTAAAATTTTATTCAGTACACGGAGATTAGGTAAAAGRATGAGAAAAATAGAACAAAATCCATTACATTTCTGAAAACCGCCCGAAAGATTGCAGTTGAGATCGTRRCAAAAACAATCGTCAATGTACATAGACGTATCTTTCCAATCTTTTAAGATTTTTAAAAACATAATAATAACACAGTTTTTTTTATATTGCTCGAAAAAGGCATATTGTGTCTCTTCATATATCTACTTTACTCTAATAGAGGCTATTAAAAGACATGCATCAATAGTTGAAAWGGCATTACTAGATTGGTGTTTTAATTTGCGACAACAAAGACGTCAAAACTGAGGAAGTGGCAAAATTTGGAGACGGTCTAGCTTCACATAGTGAAAAGAGGATTTTTTTTAAGCCTTAAAGACGGTCAATTCAATCGTCTCGTAGCGGRAGTCTACAGGTTTGTATTCATCTTATTTYATTTCGATATTCTATTTGGTTTTGAACTGAGCCGCAGTGCAACTGAGTCAACGTATTGAATCCTCTGTTTCCATCACAATGCTCTTCATTTTAGACAGTCATAGACACGTATGTCGGTAAGTGGCAAATATCCTTTTCAGACACTGACAGAAAAAGGACCACCTTTTCCAAAGTGTAAACACTAGTAGATGGTCCGTTGCATGGGGCTTTTATTCACCTGGCAAAGCATATACAATACTTGGCAGTGTAAAATAAAGTAACCAACTCGATTTATGTATTTAGTTGTAAAGCAACCTTTTCTAGTTGTCTTATACTTTATACCAARTCATTTGGTTGCGTTAATCTGAGTTTTGGGCATTGAATGCCACAGGAATTTTACTGAATATTAAATACATGCACAATTTATYAGTGTCTAATATTATCTTATTAATATCTTTATTAGTTAAAAAACTGTCGAGATTGTAAAACGCAAAATTTGGTTACAAAGTAAAACACTCTTTGGATATATATTGATATGATTCACTCAGATTCAAATTCATTGCTAAAAATATTATTTTTTACTGCAAAACAAATATGTCTGATTCTTTACAACGGCGGATGTGAACAGGATTACCACAAGTTACCTAATTTTTTTTGATTGATCTTGTATTTAACAACCATKGCATGAATACTTCAATGGTATATTTCTCTTTTCTTGTGGTTGCTTGACAAGGGGTTAGCACTCAATGTATTTGCGACTGGATTTCTATTTATTATAACTAAACGTCGTATAATTATGCATATTTCAAGTGAAGTATAAGAGAAACGTTTTCAGATTTGAAAGGCTAAAGAAGAAGGACAAGATGAGTGCCATCTTGTTACCATGTGATCTCTGGCGATGACAGAAGCCACAGGCAGACAAAACGAGTGAGAAGAAGAAAGAATATTGCTACATTTTCCGATGATTCCTGGGATTTATTTTGGTTGAACCCAACACATGATGCTTCACGAGATGCAAAGTGGGAGCATCTTCTAGGAGTTCTAGGAATGATTTTTTTTTTGTAGTTAACAGTTATTTATGAATATTAATAAGTCTTTTATCGATATGAATATCGTCATTTACATTTGTTGACCTTTCGTGATTAAGCTTGCGAAAAACAGTATGAATTTCCGACTATAGTTGCATTTCATATTTGATTAACTTTAGGTTACTATAAGAATAGGAAAAAAGTGTTAATTTTCAGCAATCTGTTCTTTTTAATTGAATGTCATTTCATTTGTTGAAATTTTTCCTTATATAATTAAAAATCAGTGCAAATTGTTTATATTCATGGTCAATGATATTTCTATTGAATGTTTTTTTATTTATTTTGAAATTAAACTCGTCATTTTTTTGATAGACAGTTGAGAGGGAAATTCTGAATCACCAACAAACAAATAAATGAAATGAAAAAAATATATGAGAAAAATTCAATTTTGTATTAATTTTGACTGAAAGAAAACATTTCAAGTACTACTACCATGAATTCTATTATTAAACTAACCGTTTGCCTTGCCAGTTGAAGCAAGTGATAAACATCAATTAAAAATTRATACATAAACATTGGATATAAAATGGAAGTACCTAGTAAATTGATTCATAAAAATGATTGAATTAAGTCTACGGTTGCATTCTAACAAAAAAAAAACTCTTGTATATAATGTGTCTGATATATTTTCGAAAACTAGGGCTGCTCTGTTAACTGACACCTTAAGAGATATATTAACGATATATCAACCATATTCGACGACGCAGCCAAAATGACTTTCTTTGATAGGAATAAATTGATAAAAAATAATAGTACTAGAAATTCCTACAACATCAACTGACCTTGGCTACGTTGAGTGAAGTTTTCCTTTGGTTCTGTACACGAAATGTTATTGGAAACCAAATTTAAATGTACCAAATCTCATTTGAACAACACGAACGCACTACCAAGAATATCAAGCATCGGAGAGTCATAAGTCTTTTTATGTTAATCACATGACACAGTGATACCCATATATGCATATCAGTTCAGCGGTATACAGCTTGAAATGCGTACTTTTGATTTATATGTGATCTTGTTAATTATACCCTAGGCATATTAGAAGGATGCTTCAAACTGGCGCCAAGACTCCTAAGAGTGATCAAATCTAAAGCATAAATCAAGACGCCATCATGTGGATAGATACAGTTACTTTGGCTTGAGCGGAAAGATTAGTAGCAATATTTTTTTAGCAGAATTCTGACTAATATATCTAAAAAAAAGTTTACCGATGGAGATATTAAGTTAGAAGAGATGTTTCTGGAAAGTGCGTTATATAAAACATCCATTAGAAGTGGATTAACTGCTATCCATTTCTGAAAAAAAGTAAGTTCCCCATACTTAAATGCTAAAAGTTTAAAGTAACAGCGGCGGAAAGCACTCGTGAGACGAAAATTAACTAATAAAGTCTAAATCATATTTATTTGAGACTAAGCGATGAAGGATAGCTATTTTCAAACTACAAGTATATAAGAACAATTACAAGGAGATGCGTTACAGTTACCTTTAAGTGACTTTCCTCAAAATACGTATTATACCCGCTCTATATGTTGGAAATCTGGAGATTTCAACATCATAATCCAACTAATTTTTATAGGAACCAATGACATTGTATTTAGCTTCAAGATATTCACTCGAGAAATTGATGCGTTCTTTATCAGATCTTGGAGTTAAGTATAGGACATTTACGTCAAAGAAATCAATAGAGGCAGGTGTCCAGGGATATCTTTTCTATATTTGATCACATGACGTTGAATTTTATATTTATTCATCATCTACTCAGGCACAATATTTTGAACTTCGCACACGTCAGCGCTTGCCTATATGTTATAGCTCTGTAGTGATATACGGATATTGATATCGCCAATATGGATTGATATGGTTTGATATTCGGTTCGTGACCATTGACTCAAAACCATGAAACACGTTATGATATTAATAAAATATTTCATCTTGCAATACTCATGTTTCAAATTCCTTAATCCTCTTTGTAAGCCTCATTTGTGTGCAAAGTATYCCCGGGGGTTAGCAAAAGAACTTGAGTCAAGTCGATTTCAGTTACCTTCTTTCTTAAAAAAATTCCCTGCGTTTCMACGSGRTATCAATGAAATAAAATATGCCTTTCACGTTTTGAGGATAACRTAGAGCAAACTAAAGCTCGTAATTACCCAGAGCATTGTGTGAGGGGATTTAAATGTCGGTCGTTAGTTGAAGGTGTCAGTTGTCAAAAAAAGAAACTCGCAGTTAAAAGAAAATGCKCTCAAACTTTGCTTCCAGTATTTTCCTTGAAAATTTCTCGAAAAGATCGATAAAGTTTTCTATCGATAAAATCAATGGGTTGAAGCAATTCAAACCCTGAAATCCAGTCACACAAATGCACTATATATTGCCTATCGCAAAAAAAAAGAAACACACAACACAACAAAGCAAAAACAATGAAATGACTTAAAAGAAACCGAAACGTCCAAATAAAACTGAGTTATAAAGCTACRAATTGGTGTTTGGTCTCGATTCCCTGGTAGTAATAGTGTCTGATCATGATAATTTATGGTTAAAGAGATTATTGAAAAAACCCTTCGGTATCGAAATCACTTATGACCCCTATCTTCTGTAATATGTAAAAGGGTAAGCTTCTATTTTTTTCCCCTTAATTACTATATTCCCAAGATAAGATATGAATTGAATCCATAAGGCTATTACAGATTAACGCAATGTCTACAGATAAATAACTCGCTATGTTTTTGCACTTAAGCTGAGTTTTGTTCACTTTGCGCATTTATCGTGCTCAAAAACACAAAATCTTTTGGTCGGCAATTTTGAATGGAAGCTAAAATGTCTAAATTGCTCTATTACAGGAGGTATACTACTTCATAAAGATCATCTTAACAAGAGAGGAATCATTGCGTTCAATTTGCATTGACTCAATGAAATAAAACTTTTTTTTAACTTTTCCACTCTCCCACTTTCGTGTTAGTTGCCATATATTTTGACAAATGAGATATATACGGACAAAACAAAAGGAGAAGAGGTAGAAGAAACAAAAACAACAACAACAATGAAAACAACACTAGCAACAACAATAACAACAACAACAACAAACGTCATTGCTTTACCTTTCTTAAGCTGTCATAGTATGTGCCCCTATTACAATAATCAGTCCCTTACTACATTTTAATTGAGTTGTCGTTTCGGGCTGGCCCGGGTGACGGGGCGGATTTCGTGTCCTCARGAAAAAGTATGAGCCGCTTCATATAGTCCGTTTCTTGGTTTATTTTGTATTTATTTTCTTGGTGTTGCGTTGGTACTTGATTGTCAAGCTCTTATCTACCCTATACTTAAGTATAGCTAAGTAGCATATTACACTATAGGCCAAGCTATTTTTTGCTATTATTTTTCTTTGATGTACCGAGTTTATCTCGAGTGTTTAGTAAATGGATAAGGRATACGTTGAAAGGAACTTCGCTACCTTTGAAGTACGCCGGGAAACATAGCTCTTAGCAACTCTCCTTGCAGCACAACCACAATCATTGTTAAAAAAAAAACAAGATTACAGCTATTCCAATGTTTTTTTTTCGTGTTGGTGAAAATTAAACGCTTACGAAAACGAACTCAGTCAGCAAAAAAACAAAAACAACAACAACAACAACAAAAAGCGATTATTTGCTATGAATTCAAAAAATGGAATATTGCAAATAGGCGATGTACAACGACACCATGTTGTAGARCAAAGCATGAYGGGAGTTGTTGTATTACATTTTTCTAGTTCTTGACAGTCACGACTGAAGCCGTTTTTGCTTTTCTTTGCGTGGTACACTACTTATTACGATACTGGAAACCGGCAACGCACTACTGTTAGAACAAAGATGATGTTTTTGGTGAAATAACAAAGAAACAATCGAAAACAAAAATTCTACTGCAATTCTATAATGGCTAAGAACTTCAGAACTAAGAACTAAGAACTTCTTAAGCATCAAATTTTCAGTTGCAATAATATTATATTTGATTTAACAAAACAATATTAGTCGATGTCATTATGCCAAGGTAACATAACGACCGCGATAGTCAGTACTATTATTCACCAGAATGTCAAAATGGTTTTAGTGCAATTGTGCGGTGGCGTCTTTTTGATACATTGTTTAGTTATCCAACATTTTTACTGTTTGATAATGTCCGACGGAGCATCAATCTCGAAGACCGACAGCATTAGAGGTTTAATATCGGCAAAAGAAAAGTGCAAAATGAGAGAATGCTTATCAGAAACAACTTCTCGAAAGAATATGGTTAAAATAACTGAAAACATGCTATTTTCATTTTTTAAACGTTGTTCGGCTAGACTAATTGTATTGAAAAGGAACTAGTAGATTGGGCATTCCTGAAACAGTAGCAGTATAGTAACACTATTTCCAAATATGTTCAAATATTATTATARCGTAAATCGCTAAATTTATTCATCTTGATAGAAAGACTCCGAAAAACTTAAGGCAAATTAACAACCGACTACCAAGCAATAACTGTGAGTCAAGCCGTCTTCRACCTCCATTTGAGAACACTTTTTGAAACTACTGTACTTGAAGTCCACTGCTGTCAAAATGGATCGATTAGTTTACCTGTTACCTTTATCAAAGATTCTGAACAAAAGGAAGTCCTCTATTTGGTCAAATACCAATTATATTAACTCAATCAAAAGAGTATCGCAAGGCTGGAAATTAATGTATCATTAGTGCTTTGCAATTTCATAAAAAGTGTTTCACGGATAGTTTGCTTTTAGTAAAAGCGTGAAACATTAGTAATACTATTCTGTATACTATATATCATATGCTAATTCTTTTGTTCAACTACTACTATTTTGGTGGAAACTAGCGGTAAACTAGTGTGAGCTGCGTCGGTGTTTCTAAAGAAACAGTTATGTAAAAAGATAAATTTAACACCGTAAAAAAGTATGCGGAAAAACTTACTGCCGCTAATCAAAGACAAACCAAAAACAATAAAGTTACTATTTTGTACTGATTAGTAATTAGTATATTTCAGCTTTCTTTTATTAAAGGAAGTCTATATAGAAATTTAATAGATACATTTTTTTTTAAAAAATACATTTTTTTTTTCAAAAAAAAAATCAATTACTGCCTTGATATCAATTAACTGGGAAGGCTTTTACCTATCACAATAACTTTTATTTTGATTCTTATCTCCATTTTCTTTGAGGCTTTTTGCCCACCCTTTCCGGTTCTTTAGAACAAAAAGAAAAAAAAAGATGTGGAAATGAGTTCTTAGGAACAAACAATTTAAAAAGTATGATTAAAAAAAGTTTTATCGAGTTAACTTACATAGTTCAAGTTTTAGTGGTTCAAGTATACCATCTTTTATAAGTCCTTGAGCTATTGTCAGAAGGTAAACATGGCTGACCGATTTTAGCACCGAATAAATTCGCTGCACACAGTGGCTGCACTTCAATGGCATACAAGATATGATGATAACATACAAGATAATCATTTACTTGGACAGGCATCACTATAGATAAAACAATAATTTTTGTATCGGATTGTCATTTTGAAGATCGGTCATTTACCTCGGTTAATTTGGTTGTTTTTGTCACTGGAGCTGAAAAATATTCTCAAATATTTAAGCTTAAGGCTGTTTGCAGGACTGTAACAAGCTTGTTGGTGCCGCACATCTTGGTGCAAGCTGCACAGTATTTGAAATCACTTAGGCGAGTTTAAAAGTGACCTTCCTGCAAATTCATTTCAGCGCTTGCTGATGTAATCAGTGGAGTTTTGTCAAAAATTAAAATGTGTTCAACCTGATTGTAATTGCGTGAAAACTAACCCCGATTTCTCGATTGCTATGTAGCTTATGAAGGTCGTGATATGATGAGTTTTCAAGACATAGAACCGCATATATTTTCGATCGAATTCTATTCGCTAATAACAGTAGATTTCTCAGTTTTTTTACCACTCATTAATACCTCCTGTTGTTTAAATATTCTTTACTTTGCGATAAATTGTTGACAAGGCAAAATATGAAGTTTTCCAAAATGCAGCCAAAGAGTTCTATATATCGTATTAAGCCGCATTTCCTATATTTTTTTAATGGTTTTTAAATCATTAAAAATATAATTTCCTTTGTGTTAGTTTTTTTTTACTAATACGCCGAAAACTCTGTTGTCTAATTTTTCAGCCACACCTTTTTACTCATTAGGTATCCCTAAGTTTAAATTTATACTTATATGCTCCTCTGTAATAGTAGCAGCTAATGGTATTTTCTAAATAAAACAAAGCAAATATTGATACTTTAATATTTTGTTCGAAAAAATAGGTAAATAGCCAGTCGTTCGGATATACTCTCGCTCAGGTTGATATTCTTCTATAGGTAACAATACCATCCCATGCTGTCCAAATAAAGGGAAGTGTGGACCTTGCAACAAACAACTGTGATAGGCACGATGTCCCCCCCCCCCCCCCCCACTATTTCCAATAATCATGCAGCTTCCGCTTGCTAGAACGATAAGAACCAAAAGAATATTTGACATCGAAATGATGATATCAAAGTCAATAAAAACGTTGTGGCGAATATCATTTGCATGAGGGAAAAAAAAGGGAAAAGGTGTGGGAAAAGGTGTTGGGTGCTAATCGTCGTTCATGGCAGCACGGGTGCTGAATTGCGAAAGACGCAGCTCGACGCGCTATCAAGTCGAAGTGCTATATTACAGACACATTTTTACATACACTTACACATAGGCGTACTGCCGGCTAGGCGCTTCCTTTACATAGCAACGAACGACTGAACGCGGAGCACAGCAGATAGAAATGGTTCGTTATTACTGAGGGAGGAAAACCCGGAAAAACCCGGAAAAACCCTCGACGCAAGGGAGAGAACGAAAGAAACTCAAATCACATATGGCGCCCCGACCGAGATTCGAACAGGGTCCACAGAGGTAACAGGCCAGCGCTCTCACCGCTCGGCCACCCATGCGTCCCTCAGATCGTCCCTCAGACAAGTGCCTTACTTGGAGATGGTTTCGATAAAGAAATAAAAAGGAAAAAAAGGTCCAGAGTCAAACGGCATCCTGTTAACGAGCTTTTGCTTAAGGTTTAAGAATAAAAATACATCATAATATAAGGTACATAAATTTACTGTTCATTATACCTTTATGGTATATGGCTAGAGATATTGTATGATCAAATCATTTATTTATATTTTTATATTTATTTATTTACAGCTGTTTGCAATAATTCTGACCCCCTCTGCCATTAAATATTATGGGATATCATGACTGATATATTTTTTGAGTTGCCCAGAATGAGTACTTTCTCAAAAAAATATCAGCATTGGTATMCCATAATTTCTAAGGCTACTTTGATATATATGAATATTAGTGTAGGGGGGTCAGAATTATTGCAAATAGCTGTATATAAAACCGACAGATGGAAACAGAAGGATTGCGAATGGATATTTGAAGTAGCCTAAGTTTCTATATATATTAAGCACGACCACATTAAATACCGGCCGACACCAAGCGGCCCCATAAAATGCCTTTTTGGATCAAATGGATTTGCATTCAAAAATAGCATATCACAGTGGAATATTTAGAACTCGAATTTCAATGAAATAAGTTGGAAACATTCATTTCCAAGAAAATGTGTAATAAATAACAATAGTAGGAAACATACAACGTATACCAAAAAAAAAACATTATAATGAATGAATATGTACAACAACAATTTACAGACCAATAGTTAAATGTAGAAACAATAATAGAATTGTTTTCTTTTCTTGTTTTGAAATGACGCACAAAGGAATGTGCAGGAGGAGACAACAGGGTGTGTTTTCTAAATAACTGTTCTTGCACGAATTTTTTCCTGGGAAAGGGATTTTAAGCTACAATAAGAACAATAAGACAATAAGAACAGATATATTTCTCCCAGGAAYCCCTAGTCTCCTCCTAAATGTTTACCTCTAATAGCGAAATCGTCAATTTTCACAGCACTGCCAGTGTGTATTCTACCAGTGAGTTTTCAATTGGAGTATGCTATTCTTTTGCGTCTGACTGACGCAAAGATTCAGCAGTAGATATAAAAGACACTTGGAGATTTCGCTGGCAGCCGAGCAAAAAGTGAGAATTCTGGGTATATCAAACATTTATGGTCCTCAGGAAAAACGATCTAAAGTTAAGCTATCACAGATTTTACATATGTTAAAACGATTAGAAATACGATGATCTTGTGAAATAATCTTACAAATCCTTGATTTATGAGCTGATTATCAATGATATACCAGATTTTGAATGTTATCTTACTTTCCATGTGCAGTTGCTTATGAAATGTTTGTATTTCCGTTCTGAGTCATACCGGATGTGAGGTTATTAAATCCATATGATGAGAAAGTTGAACATAAAATGAAGAAATTCGAAGGAATGAGGCATATTTTTATATGTGAATCATGCATTGCTGTTTTCAAATCATTGAGATGTGAATACAARATTATTGACTCATGAGAAATGAAGGGMAGCATGGGGCATATTTTTTCATTACGAGCTTTCCTAGACAACTGTTTCATCATGTCACGTGACATCTATATTTAGTAAAAGCTAGATATTATCAGTTTTTAAAAAGCTGTTTAAGATTACGGCAATTGCACGACCGGAATTGATATATACGGCTGTACAGAGTTTCCATTAATTTTTCCTCCTCTTAGAAGGACGATTTTCTGCCTCACATATAATGTTAATAAAACAAATATGTTTGAATCTCAGTTCAGTTTCTGTAATTCAGTTACTATTTCTTCGATGCTGAACTATTCTTAAAACTTCTTCATGCCATWTTGTATCTGGCAAGCTAAAAAGGCTTTTGCAGAT